AGCAGTTATGACCAACAGTTTTATTGTTTCTGTTTTTAGGCCATGCAATCCCGCCTGCAGTTTATTAATAAACGCTTACTAAAGAAGACTTCAGAAGCCCTTGACAAGGGGGGTGGGGTTCTTATCACCACCGTGACTGGAGATGGAGGTGCAGTACCATTTTTCATTATATTTCATTACACATCACGTGTTAAAGTTAAGTAAATAATAACTTACACTTATATAGCATTTTTCTGGACACTCCACTCAATGCACTTTACAGGTAATGGGGACTCCCCTCCACCACCACCAATGTGCAGCATCCACCTGGATGATGTGACGGCAGCCATAGTGCACCAGAATCCTCAACACATATCAGCTACCAGTGGGGAGGAGAGCAGAGAAATGTAGGCAATTCATAGATGGGGATTATTAGGAGGCCATGATTGGTAAGGGCCAATGGGAAATTTGGCCAGGACACCAGGGTTACACCCCTACTATTTTCGAGAAACGCCCTGGGATTTTTAATGACCACAGAGAGTCAGGACCTCGGTTTTACATTTCATCCGAAGGACGGCGCCTGTTTACAGTATAGTGTCCCCATCACTATACTGGGGCATTAGGACCCACGTGGACCCCAGGGTGAGCGCCCCCTGCTGGCCCCACTAACACCTCTTCCAGCAGCAACCTTAGTTTTTGCCAGGAGGTCTCCCATCCAGGTACTGACCCAGCTCACACCTGCTTAGCTTCAGTGGCTGCTGGCTTAAAAGTAAACACAGCTTTATATTTTAAAAACTACTGCAAAACAAAAACAATAATCAAATGTATTCTTACCTAAATTTATTGAAATGAATGCTGTAATGATTGCTATTGGATATTAAATGAGGCTGAACATAAGGAATAAAACACTCAGTACTTCTTCTTTGATGGGGACAGTCAGAGATCTACAGTGAAAGATTTGCCACCAACAGCTAGAGATATCTGGAGATACCTATGAATCCATTACCGAGAAGTTCAAGGCTAACGACCTGGTTGGTGCCCCACCATGAAGCGAATGTAGGTTTCACCCAAATGCATAAAAATAAAAGCTATAAATAAATTTGAAAGAGGTGACATGGGTTATAGCAGTTTAGGCTTCTGTTTCACAGCTTATACAATAGGTTCAATTCTGGCCTGGGGAACTCCATATGCTCTCCCAGTGTCTGGATGGGATTTCTCTGAGTGCTCTGATTCTCCCTCCCAGAAACACACTAGATTAACTGGTGTCTCAAAATTGAATTTATTCCCTCTGACAAACAAGTGTTCCAGTATCAATCCTCGCTAGGAGTAAGAAGATTTCAGATAATGGATGAAAAAAAAATAAAACCATGAGATTTAAAGAGTTTGAATCACACTATTCTCTGATCACACTTCTGTAGTGTGAAGAATACTGCCATCATTTGGAAAGCCCACCTCCAAAAGTGAGATTTTATAATGATAAAACTAGATTTAAAAATATTTTAAAAACTGCTCATACTGATAAAATATTTTCATGACCATTATTTTGACACTTTTCTGCAAAACAAAAGTGTGGATTGAAGATAGCAGTTTGTTATTAATAAATCAGAACAGACAGTAATAGGAACTATGTTGAACACTGATAAAAGGTTAGTGATGCACCTTGGATTTCCATCACTTTTAAACAATTAAATGTTTTTTGACCTATTTTTCTCTTAATTTATGTCCCTGGAATTAATCTATAGAAGCTACTGCATCTCTGTGTGAGACTTTTCCAAAATTGAGTCTTCCAAACTTTCCATGTAATATGGGTGTAGGAATTCTGTTACTAAGATCTGTGTAATTATCAGAATGTGGACAAGTACACGTCAAATTCAAAATAAGAGATATCTCTACAGTGTTTATCTAACAAACTATAAAAAAACAAAGTAGGATGTTAAAAAAACAAAGATGAAATAGGAGTCAAAAGTGAAACCAGGTGTTTTTTAAAGAAAGGTTTTAAAGTCTTAAAAAATTGACTTTGAGAAATGTTGAAAATCTTTATTCTGTAGGTAACCGATTTCCTTAAAGATAAAAAAGATAAAAATATTTTTTTCAAAAGTCATAAAAAATCATACTACTACATCATACTACAATTCTACAAAATTATGGTGCCTTCCAGTGATTTCCCATTTTGTTCAATTACAAGTTGCAGTATGTACTGTATACATATATTTAAAGTTAATATTTAAATTATATTCAAACTGTTCAAACTGAAAACGTTTATGGGTGAAAGAAGTAAAATGTCAGAAAAGAAAAATTAAAAACTAAAATATGTTCATTGAGTAAGTGTTCAAAGCCTTTTTCATGCAAAGATTCAATCCTGAAGACCAAAAGCTCAAAACCAACTATCACATTTGTTATGTATCATTGTAATTGAACCAAATGGGACATAATTGGAGGGAGTCAATTCTATAGTTTGAGATTCTTAATAATAATAAACTTTATTTTGTATAGTACCTCCTTCTTCAGGAGCTTTACAGAGGGAGAAGAAAAAAATACACAGTGAGGGGAGATAGCACAATCAAACATTTACAATGAAGGTTTGGAATACAGAAGGAAAGCACTGGTGCAGACACAGAACCAGTTAAATAAAAGCATTTCTAAAAAAGAAGGTTTTGAGTCTAAATTTGAAAGAGCTCAGGGAAACTTACGCTCTGAAATCTTTAGGGATAGAATTCCAGAGCTTTGGGGCATAGCTAGAGAAGGCCCTGTCACCCATATATTGAGCAAAGTTTACAAGGTAGGGAGTAGGATGATAGTAACTCAGACAGGTATTGAGATGCCAAGCCCTGTAGAGCCTTAGGTGAGCATGAGGATTTTTAAGTTGACAAGAAACATGATAGGAAGCCAGTGCAAGTACTCCAAGACAGAAGTAATGTGAGCACTTGTATTAGATCTGTTCAGGATTCTGACTGCCAAATTCTAGACATACTATAGTTTGTTCAAAGAGGATATAGCTACCCAAGTGATAAAGTAACAGTAATAAATTCTAGAGAAAACAAAAGAGTTTACCAGCTTTTCAGCATAGTCCGGCGATATTTCTGAGGAGGAAGAACAATGTTTTTACATATGTTGCACATATGGGTCAAATGTCAAGCCTGAATCAAATATCTCCCCCGAGTTCTTCAATTTTGATTGAAACTCAAGTACAGTACCAGTCCGAAATAGGGTTACTGCATTGCTTTTACATAATTGATCGGGGGTGCCACGAAGCATGACTTATCACAGTTTAAATGAAGGAGGGTTTGAGTCTTCCATGTTTTCATGTCAACTCAAATACGCCATTGTGCAAATGAACCTAACTTTTAATATGTTTTAAAATACTGCGTACATGGAGGGTTGAGCCCAGACTAACTGAGGAAGTAAGATATAGGATTTCTGGTATGAATGGTAGGGTCACTGGGATATCACAATCCACCAGCTCCACCAGTTTCCCTCACTTCACTCTGGAACAGACAGTGATCCCAGCTTCAGGCTCTTTCCCAGCCAAATGTTTGGTGTTAAATAGGCACCTGCCACAATACATTTGCAAGAGAGATACTAAGAATTAGACGGTGGTCTTTCACCATTAAAATGCTTCATATGACATTATGTCTCATAACGTATATTAATAAAGAGTTTGAAAAGGTACCAATTGAATTGTTATAAAGATTCTTCAACAAATGTATTATGTACATGACAGTATTTGTAGACACTTTAGAATACGAAATACATTTTTCTCTGATACTAATGAAAAATAAATACTTCATATTGATCTCCTACAGCTGCTCTCTCGCCTTCACCAGAAGACCCATCAACACCACCAGGTCTAGATCTTCATCACCAGGTTCAAGGAGATTCCTCCCAGCCTACTATGCCACCTCTCATAGATCTGACTCCATTTATCAGGTCTGAGTAGATTTTTGTATTATATTGTCATTTTAAATGATCATTATTGTTTTTCTAAGTTTTTCCTATTTAAAATAGAGCATTCCCCTATAGATACCAGCAACTAGAAGATGCCTGCTCTCTCAAACAGGCCCAGATGTACTGTATACAAAGGCTATTACTTTTCAATGTTTGCCCCTCATATTGCAATAATATCTTTGTGGGCTCAATACTCAAATGTCATCTGGCAGCTCCCTGGGAGCCAACACTCCACAAAATAGTGAAGGACCTTCCTTCAGTCTTTGTCTCTAGATAAATTATGGTATTACCGTTGTCATTTCATGCAGGATTCATTTAACAACTGAAACTGTTATTTTTTGTGTTATTGTACATTTAATTGTGCTAGTGTAGGAAGTTGGAGGTTTTAATTTTCTGTAACAATCATAATTTGTAACAGTACATTGTGAAAGTACATGACCACTTTTAGGACTAAAACATAATAATTTACAGTCTCACACACAGATTCTAAATATAGAATATACAATATATTGATATAACCAAAACATGTATAACAAATAAAAAAACATAATAGCATATTTCTGTGAAACAATCTGCCGTGAATGCGAAATGCAGATCATTCACTCAGGGATTACAAAGATCAGAGTTAACAACTTCAGAGATAAAATACGCATTAACTGTTCTATTGACTAGTTCTATAATGCATCACTGTCTAGTTTTATCAGTCTTGTAAAAGTAAATCACATTTATAATTTCAGACACAAGTAAATATACATTTACTATTATGAACTAAGCATCAAACTTACTTGTGATAATAGTTTGCTCGAGAATAACATGAATAATGAAATTTAATACTGAAAGATCTGTTGAACCAGATGTCCTTGATGAGTTTAAACTTTGTGCTGGTAAAAGCTGGCTGTAGCAGTTACTCGGTGCTGGGAGAGAGAGCTTTAAAAACAGTCTTTAAAAAAGTCTGTGGAGTTTTTCTTCTTGAGGTTCACAAGGTAGACAAAGGGGAACTTAATTTGTTCAATGCTATAGCTTTTTGTTCAGAATGTTCTGGAAATTGTCAAAAAGAAAAAGTCCAACTGTGATCAATTAAGTTGATCAGGCGAAAATAACAGTGGGTTTGTAAACACAAGATTTCTTCTGATTCAGGAAGAACATCTTGGGCAGAATTCAGTACATTTCTGACTCACTCTCTCAGCCTGGCATCCTGGAGATTCAAGTTTTAAGTTCTGACTTCAACTACTTGTGCTCACATGGTTGTAAAAGTCAGTTTGCCAGGTTAGAGAGAGATTGAGAGAGCTAGTGGTTCACCAGAGAAAAAGGACATGTTCCAGTTTATGTGGGGCGAAATCACAAGTTGGTGATAAGCTAAGTTGCTATCAGGTTTGTTTCTAGTACACACCTACAGATCCCCATTTGTTTGATCTTCCTTTGGGTGATGGATAGTGACCTTTGACCTCTGTGGTGTTTAGGAATGAACTAGACTGAAGACTGCTGGAGCCCATCTGTGCTATACAGTATATCATTGATACAACACTGAGTTTTATGAAGTCTCTAATCAGAGGGGGCTTCTTTAGCCAAATTCCTCTGCATTAGGGAGAGGCACCAATCTACTTTGTCAAGGCACATAAAGCTTATTAGAAATATTTAATTACGCTTAAGTCTAAGTGAAATAATAGACCTTATCTCTAGTTTACAGAAGCATTATACTGCAAAGTATGGCACCCTGGGAATTTTCAGTAGTTTTAGTAGTCCACCTTAAATGAGTACAAATTCTGCTCTATTCTATATTCTTACAATATTGAACATTCATTACATTTATGACTTAAAGAAATTGAAAAACAATAAAATCAATAATAATTGTCAAATAATAATGAATCCTCCCATATGAGATCTCACTCCTTTCTCTGCATTGTCCATACCATGCAATTCCATGCCCTTCCAGCATTTTCAATGGGAAATTGGTGCACAATTCACCTATTTCCCATTGAACCTAAACCTGTTTGTTGTTTTTTGTCATTACATTATTTAATACATTTTAGCCTTTTCCACCTGTAATATGTTACTTTGCTCTTCCTTTTCATAACCTTTTACTTACATAATCAACCAGAATCCACAGCTAAGACTGATAAATTTAATTTAATTTGTAAAATGGTCTAGAAGTTTTTTCTCCTTTGCTAGTGTCTGCCATGCTTAATGTTGGATATTTACCTTCTATTCTCTACTAGGGTCTTTCAGTTGTCCTGAACCCTTGTCAGAATTATCTTTTTTGCATTAAAGCCAAACTTTCAGACTTTCTAATTCCTGGCACACTCACTCACTTGTATATATATCTCACAATCATTGTAACAGTTTAATCCTTAAAAGATAAAATATATTGTGCACTTTTAGTCCACTAAGATAAATGATTGTCATATGAATCTTTCAATTTACATACAACAAAGAATACAATACAAAAAAGAAAATACCTTCCTTACAGTAAAAATGCATGATCAATTTTCTAAAAGAGGCTTGGGATGATAAAAGGTCCCAGCATGAATGAAACTATTCAGCTTTACTTAACATGCAAAGCCTTGTTTCCACTAGGCACTTCACACAGATTGTCTGGATTAAGGGCACCTCCAATTACACTGAAGTACACATTTTAGCCTAGCCCAAACTAGTCTCTTATGACATATTATGCAATACTCATTAAGTACGAACCTGTCCAGGCAGAGGTATATTACCTTCTCCAAAATTACTGGTACCCTTGATAAAGATGAGTAAAAAAGGCTGTATAAAACACAGATATGTTGTAATTTTCCAACATGTGGAATATATTTTACTTTATTAATGATTCAATAGAATAAGCTAAAATTACTAATTTCTCAAATAATAACTTTATCTCCAAAAACGTATCTGCCACAATATTTGGCACCACTATTTTCAGTAATGTTTGCACAGATAACAGCACTGAGCCTTTTTCTGTAATGTTTTATGATAATAAAGAACACATTGGGAGAACACATATCTTATACTATTCATCCATACAGAGTATTTTGATATCTTTAGGTCTGTGCTTATGGGTTCAAGTTCAGAGAGTGAATAGTCAAAAGGCAATGTTGCTTTTGTGGTCAGTCATTTCCTTGTGGATTTTGATGTGTGCTTGTGATCATTGTCTTGCTGGAAGATCTACTTGAGGCCAAGCATAAACCTCCTGGGAGACCAGACCTGGCAACCAGATTTTTTAGGATTTAGGAAAATAGCCCTATAACATAAAATATATTTTTATAGAACACCTTATGTAAAATACTGTACTGTAAAATATGGTATGTTAGAACACCATATTTTACAGTACAGTAGGTATTATCTCCTTCTCTGAATATGTCTTCTTCTTTTAATGCCAAACCCACCATTGGTGTCGGTGGGCAAAGAGCTTTATTTTCATTTTATCATAGCACCTGGTTCCAATACAAGTGCCAATGCTGTTTATAAAACTCCAGGTTCTTATGTTTTTGGTTTCATCTCAATAATTATTTTTTTTGGAAGGTCTTGCAATTACAGTAGCTTATTGGCATGGAGGTGGTGTCTATTTGTAAACTTTGAGACTTGCTGACCCCAAGATACATCAAAGTTCTGTAATTCTCCAACTGTGACCCTTGGATTTTTCTTTGACTCCCAAACCATCCTCTTTACTGTATGTCGGGGCAAGAAACTGTACACTTTCATCCTCTAACAGACAAGTTCACCACTGTTCCAGGGGTTTAAAACTTATTAATTTAAAACTTGCTATTACTGGTTAGTGGTATATTTAGTTGTTTTTTTTATACCTATTGCCTGATTTATGAAGGGTAACAACTATGTGTCTCTTTTCGTTTGTGAGTTATTTGCCTTTCTCCATGGCGATGGATGACATATGAATTTTTATAAGTGTTTTCTCTCACTTATATACCCCAGTAGAAGCAATGGAAGATCATAATACAGGTACCTAAAACTAAGATGAGTAGAATGCAAAAGATAGAATGTTAACACAGATTTAATTTTGTTTGATTTTATTTATAAGAATATTTAGGGATGCCAAAAATATTTACATCTATCTTTCTGGGAAATAAAATTATTACTTGTTAACAAAAAAAAAACTTTCTCTTAGTAATTGCATCAAAATATCAGAATATAGTTTTATATATTGGTGAGCATAAAATATAGCTTAATACCCATATTGTTTATTTTATATAGTCTTTTTGCCTATCTTTATCAAGGGTGCAAATAATTTTGGAGGTGACTATGCAGTATATGTACTGTACTGTAACAATGTTATGCACCATCAATGTTTAGGGAAAAGCTAAATTATGTCAGACAACGAAGTGTCATCTATACTTCATCTTAACCTTTGAAATGATAAATTCCAGTAGAAATAAAAACTCTTTAATGTACCAAGGTATAATATAGTATGTAAATTATTTATATGGTGTAAAACAACCAATAAAAACATCATTTTAACCACCACTACAAAAACTTATCAGTGATGTTTTTATAAGAAAATCTCAAAAACAAAACAAAATCTCCCCATTTTATTCTCAAAGTTGTATTTCTAAATTTGCAATTTCAAGTGTTAGCAGTGAAACTTAAAGAAAGCCTGTATTTATGCAGGAAACTATCTGTCATTGCACAGCAGGTTAAGTGAGGTCATAATACCCCTGTGAATCCCCCTTGTAGCTAATTTTTACTAATTTAATCTGATAATATTTTGGTATATTCATTAAAAGCTATTTTAAGCAAACCAACTTTGCTGTCCCTCAAGAGATCTCCTTTCATTGATGTTACCTTTCCATCTAATGTCTACTCCACGTGTCAAAGTAACAGGAGGAGAACCTGTTATACCATGAAAGTAAAATTAGTCTGAAATGTTTCACCCCTCAAGATTACTCATTAATAAAGATTACAGACTTTTTTTTCAATATTCATAATTGTGTTATATGAAGGTCAAAGACAGTAATAATGATTCTCCCAACTTTTGGTGATTAAATTGTTCTTTTGAAATTAAATTCCTCCTGGTTTTCTCTTTTTAAAAATAAAATAAAAATGGGTTTATCATATTTCAGGAAATGACATGACTGATATATACATACAGTACATATACATGCAAAATGTATATGTTACAAAATTACAAAACGTTGTGGGAGCAATTATAGACCTCAATAATTATTTATTTATATTTTGCATTATGAAAGTATTCTTGATTAAACAATAAACTATTAGAATTCTTAATATATTCATATAGTATTCCCCACATAATCTTCATTCATCCATCCATTTCCTAAACACTTTATCCAATACAGGGTTGTCAGAACCTATCCCAGGAAGCAACTAGCATGAGGTGGGATATACCCTGGACAGGACTCCATTCCATTGTAGGGCACACACAGATACAATCACACGCACTCACACCGGGGCCAATATTCCCAGAAGCCAATTAACTATCAGTACATATTTGGACTGTAGGAGGAAACCCATGTTAACACTGGGATAACATACAAACTCCACATAGATAAAAGCTCCAGTGCTGTGAGCCAGCAATACAATACATAAAAATGATAACAGAATATTGAATTGTTCACACAAAGTGTAAAGAGTTCTTTTAGAGTCACTATTGAGCCTGTTTATCCCTCACATTGTGTATATCACTCCTTTGTTAATCTCCTTAACAGAGCAAAGCACAGTGCAATTTGCATATTCACTATGACTGGCAGATTGAAACACCTTACTGCTCACCAAAACTCAATTTTTTGGGGTGTATTTATGTTTATATGGCCAGTTGTAATTTTAGAGAGTGACACCTAATTAAATTTGCCAGAGTGCATGGGCAGCAAATAATCAGCCTGTACACCCATTCAGATCAGAATAGCATTTACTGTATAGTGACAATAGCATTTTGGGGAACTACAGGTTCCCTTTTTTATTAAGTGAAATAGATCAATTGTTTGAAATACATGAAAGAGGCTCAAAAAATGTACAAGTACCTGCTTTGGATTTCTATAATAAATTCACAGCACACATAATGATCCCTGTGGGTGTTTAATAGCAAGAGTATCTCTTATTATAAGTGTTAAGTATAATGTGTTTTTGGTTAAATAAAGCTGTTAAGGTTTTTTGTTTCTTCGTAGAAAATCTAAAGAAGAGTCTGTGCTGAAGGACGACTTCATCACATTACAGCAGGAGAGGGAGAAATCAGAAGAATTCCGAAGGTTCCGCCTGATGCGAGACCTGATAATGGAGCACAGAGAACAGGAGCAGCTGTCAAGAAAGGAGCTGAAGAAAAGACAGCTAGAGATGTACGAACAGCTACAGGTGAGAAGCCAGGAATTTTACAGCACGGAAGACTGTTTCCTGTTTAAACCCTTTTTGCTACCTATCACTTCTTGCTTCATCAAAATGCCCATGCTCATCAATCAAAATTTGAAAAGGAGTGAAAGTAAGCTTCATTCCAGGGTGGCTGACAGCTAGCCATGTAGCCACTGACATTTTTATTAAAATGGAGTCTCTCATAGTCTCTTGTTGTTGTTTGTACACCTGCAGCTGTAGGCATTACTAGTAAGGGATTATTTTTTCTCCCATTTGATCATATATTAGACAATCTAGTGATGTGCCCATTAGGTCTGCTTCAGGCAGACAGGGCTCCTTTCTCTTGTTGTAATAACCTCTGCTGCACATACAGTATTAGGTATTCCTTGTCTAAAATAAAGCATTTCTGAAGTCTGCTATCAACAGTTTTCACTTTATATGATTTAAAAGAAAAAAATAAATATTTATAAAAGGGGATGTGTTTCACAAAACTATTGAGATTGTACAACATCTCACACGTATGCAGGTGGTACTGGATGTAAACAGGCAGAAGATCCTGACAGCACGGGAGTTGTATCGCAGCAAGCTGCTGGAGTCGGAGCTCAGGAAACAGGAGGAGGATGCTGCACTGGAGGGAGCTCGTCAGGCTGAGCTGGAGAAAAACTCCCCACCACGTCAGAAGAGCCCCAAGCGGGGAAAGAGTTCCAGCAAGAAGAAGTAAAATGCTGAGGCTACTACTTCTTAGCTTCCATATGTATTCATTAAGCCTCAAAGTATTTTTTCTACTGCTTGTTTTTAGAAATAACTATTAAGTGCTGGTTTGGAATTTTAGGTAAAATCTGCAGCTGTCTTGATTTTCTTAGTTGTATTTTTTTGGTCATTTTTAAAACGGAATTTGCTGAGCGTTATTCAGCATTCATATGCCTTATATCCTTAAAATTTCCTTCTGACTAATAAGCAGTATAGATGCTATTAATCTTTTAGAGTAAGTGGTAGTAGACCTCAAATTTGAATCATATTTATACAAATGTGAATCTCTTAGTCACATTGTCAGACTGTAATCAGAATGGTGACAACAGGATCAAGCTAGCTCCTCCAAAAAGTCATTTTCCTTCATAAACAGTAGATTTAAGTCAAATCTAGATTCCACCAAACATATTTCACCAAGTCAAAGTGACAGAGTATTCAAACACTACATTGTTAAATTAAAAGTTTTTTTACAGTATTTTACTTACAGTAGATTAAGGTTAATTGCCATGAACGACAAATAAATTGTCTCCAATTGAGTATACACAGTAAATAGTAAATATCCTGCAAAGGAACATTATTAAATTCTATATCTGTATTGAAAACCTTTTCATGTCATATTTCTTGTTTATGAAGTATCTTCAAGGAGTATGCTGTTGCTTCTGCTTTTATTTCATTGGCAAAACCTACAGTATGTATACAATTGGTATTTTTTATGGAGATGACATTTGTTCACAAGTGTGCATTTTTTTTTCCCATTTCTTTTATTCTTGATCATATCATCTTAATGTAAAAAAAAATGGTCCATATTATTTCTTAAATAAAAGTTCATAGTTTTTTTATTTACTATTTAAATATTTTTACCCTAATGACTCACAAAGCTGTGTCAACACGTGTCAGTAAGCTTGATAAAATTATTAAGCATAAGAAATGTCTTACAAACAGCCAAAAATTGTAATTTTTCTGAAGGTAAAGGAGCCTTAAATGTATAATTAATCCAGTTTTCTTACAGAGTCTTGGATATAGACTCTGTAAGAAAATTGTAGGTTATTTTGTTAATGCCTCAGAGTTATAAGCGTAACATATGGTTTGTCTACTTTGCTACATGCATCATTATTTTGTTTAAAGTGGAGACTGCCATATTTCTAATATTTTTTTATCTTAGAAATTGCTATGCAACAATTTTTCTCCTTCAATTTGGTGTTCATTTAGTGATTCAGAGAGATTTTTTCATGCCATATCTATAAATAGTCTTGAAGCTGGATGAAAAGGACCACAGTGCCATCTTGTGGTATCATTCTATTGCTGAAAAGGTGAAGTATGACACTATATCTGTATCTATTCCTGCTGACTTTCTCTTAAGAAATAATAAATGTAATGCATTTTTTTCTTTGATTTGATGTATTAAAAGCTATTACCAAATTCAGGCTTTTTGGTCAATTTTGTCCATGATAATGTTATTATCTTTCTGTTGTCAGTAAGATTAACGTGTGTTTCTTTATCGGGATGTATCATGTGGTGCTTGTATTAGATATGGCATCTGGAAATTTGTGCTCTCACTACAGATTGGATTGGATTACTCACCACCTGGCAGAGGTAGACAAAACCAATGCAAAAATCATAAATGTGAATCTTGACAATTAATGCAACCAACATTTAAAATGGCTGTTCATCGATAATATTAAATGGCTTATAAGGCATAATATAATATGTAATTATTTTGTATTAACACCAACACAATTTGATTACACCAACCAAGAGAATGCAATTTCTTGACCTTTGGAGGTACAGTATCATCAGGATGGGCCAAGGGAGAAGGTACAGTTATTTTGATAAGAAAGTTGTTTTCTATGGCATGTGGGAAGGTTTGACTGGAGATACTGGCTTGGAGGATGAACGTGAGACTGAAGATGAATTTGGCTACCGGAATAGTTAGGGGTAGATTGGTAGGGCTGCAATAGGAATAGACTGATGTTGGCATCACAAGACCAACCACTGAGAGTCCTCAAAGTAAACCAGTGAATTTGAAGAGATGGTACGGAGGAGGCTGAGAAGTGGCTCTGGCTGTTAAGGGGACCAGGTGAAGGTGCAGGTGTTGGAAATGAAGAAATGGATGAGAGAGCTAGGACAGGGTGATGGCAGATTGGAACTGGAGTTCTGGGGAGGATTGAATTCCATGAGAAATGTAGCTTCTGATTCCGAGTTCAGTGGCTCGCTTTGACAGTAGGAGAACTGGGGTTGGTTTAGTTAGAAAAGGCAATGGAATGGATCCTCAGAGAGCTGCACAGTAGGTTCTGCCTCTTTTGTGAGGGCAAACACTAAATTGTATCATGCAAAAGCAAAACTCTGTAAGCTAGAATTACAGCAAAACTAGGGTTTGATCTCCCAAACAAATTTAAAACTAAATTTTTGAATATGCTAATTAACTTGATTGTATTTAATCTGAAATTGTGGCTTCAAATTGGTGTAAAAAATGAAATGAGGAAGAGTGTTTATCTGGCCAGCACTGTAATTAGCATTGCAGCACTGGGGTCCTTGGTTCATGTGGAGTTTGTATGTTCTCCCTGTGTTTGTGTGTGTGTGTGTTTCCTCCAACAGTCCAAAAACATACTGCTAGGTTAAATGGGTTCTGGGAAAACTGGCCCTCATCTCAGTATGTGCATGTTTGTGTCTGTGTGTGTCCTTTGATGGACTGGTTTTCTGTCTATATACTGCCTTGAACCCATTGTATGCTGGGATACACTGTGGCTCCCTTGTGACCTTGCATTGGGTAAAGCAGTTAGAAAATTTTAGAAAAAAATTCCAACATACTAGCAAGACAATCTATACATTTTTGTACTAACTGAAGAATCATTCACTCACTTTGTCTTATGTCACAGGAACCTTGGGAGAAAATAATTATATTTGTTGCTTAAATGTACCAAATTTCTTAGACACAGAGGTAGGCACATTAATATTTCAGTGGTAGTTGTGTCAGTCCATTATTAGCCTTATTAGCCTTGAGACTGTGCAGTAATAAACATTTTGTAGATACTGTATTCCTGTTTTACTGCTCTGTTATTCTTTTGTTATGGTATGTTTTAGAAACATTTCAAACAAAAAAATGGATCACAAATATAAAACAATAATGTTGAAACACAAACTATTTAATCAAACTAAGATGCTTACACAGCACAGTGAGAAACATTATGTCCTTGCTAACAATGACCTCTCTTTAGCTAAGAAGATAAAAAAGATTCATTGTCCATCCAAATTGCTGTTTCAGTCTTCATGACCTCTGAAACACACAGTAGGATCCAGTCATGATGATGTTTTGCTTTATGAACTACATTTACTACCCATTGATAGAAAAAAAATACATGATGTGAGAATATAAGTAGTGTAACGCCCTCGCCTGGTGGTGAGGAGGAAGCGACCCTAGGCGCTCGTAGTACCGCTGGGCATGCTGGGAGTGGTAGCCGGGGAGAGTCTGAGGGTCAGCACGATGACCAGCGGCTGACCCTACCTGTGTAAATAATGTCCTAATAGTTCTAATGCCCTGTGTAGTCCTGTAAAAGTATAGTGTGTTGTTAAGTAATTACCATCCTAAAGATGTGTACGTGTTCCGTCAGTCTCCTCATGTGCGTGTATATCTTGTGATTGGTTTTGTGTGATTGTTAATGAATAAAGTTAGTGCTTGGTATGTTAATCGCGTCTCCACTGGTCCTTTGTTCTGAAAAGAACATGTAAACGCTACAGTATTAAAGGTTTTTTTTATAATAACGAATTCTTACTTTGGTTTGTTTTGAAGGAATTTTCATTTTACAATTGCAAGTGTTCCATAAAGAATCTTATGAAGGATAGAAGTGATTCAGTCTTTATGGTTATAGTAAAATATTTTAGTGTTTTAATCTGTTTCTTTATGTAACAGTGTGATTGTAAGAAACACTATAAGTTATTTGAGTTCATTCATTTCCCTTGTTAATGTCCTGTTACTGAATTTGTTGAGACATGTACTGTATATTACTTCGAGATGACATCCTTCTCCTGTGTTCTTGCAGTGTTGTTTTGAAGTTGTTGTTTTCAAATAATTACTTCCATTGGGAGTTTAAACACTGTTCCTGAACTAAACCTGAATCTGAATATTGAAGTATTTTTTCCAATTATGCCAATAATCCTGGGCTGGCCTGTTGAAAAAAAGCTTTGTCTTCCTGAGGTTCTGCACATTACAGCACAATCCCTATGCATACTGTATACTATATTTCTGCAACTGGTGTGACATTACCTTTTTCCTACTTTGTTAGTAGAAGTTTATTAAAGCACTATATTTGTTACCTGAGGCACTCTGGAAGGCTTGGGATTTAGCCATCAATGTTACAATGATATTTAAATTACAGTTTAAATATCCAGTAAATGAAAAAACCTCTGCTCTACCTCTAACTACAGCCACATGTTTGGCATTGTGTATACAAACTTTCAATTCTTGCAAATAAGTTTTATTCTTGGTTTAACATCTGTCGGTTGGGATTAAGTTATATTCACTGACTGAAAAATAATTGCTGTGAAACAATGAAGAACAAAAACACAGACAGGTGTTGGAGAATTAAGAATTTAGTTGATAAGGGAACAGGAACTTGTGCTCTGATAAATTGTAATGATAGCTTAGTATTAGGTGTCCATGCTCTAAACTATTTAATCTTGAGACTCTTATTGGTGCCTACATTTATTACTTTATTCAAATTAGTGTCATTTTTATTCATTCATTTTCAGCACATCATTTTGGTGCAGGTCACAGTGACTGTAGTTATGTTTTTTCAGAACATAAGAATGATTACAAACATTCAAGAGGGGGTAATTTGGCTGATACATATTTTTTTTCCAAGGTTATCTAAACCTATGATCCATCCACCCATGTCTTGAAAGAGTCCAGGGTCTCAGTTTCAACATCTAGGCTGGGCAGCTTGTTCAGGACTCCTGCAACCCTTTGTATAAATCAGTTCCTCCTATTGTCCATTTTAAATATCCTCCTAAAAGGTATGAACAAAGTGATATTACTGTCTAGCCATTTATGTAAACGTTGGAGCTCTACTTGACAGAAATTAACAATGATAACTACCAAAATAATTGAGTTTTAAATCACTGGTATTTATGGATAAACATTTATATTTTTCTTTTTATGCACAGTGGCTTGGATTTACTGTGCTAAAATAACTTTGGTCTTTCTTTTTTTCTTGTAAAAAAATATTTTAAGAAAATATGTGATTTTTAACTTAGGTAACTGATTTGCTTAAAATCTCATAGAATTAACATTTTACTAATTCAAACCTACTGTAATTAGTTAGCTTTTACAAAGAAATATTCAACAGCCTTTGGAGAACCTGGGCATAGGTATGTCTTAAGGATGTATACATTTTTTCTGTCTTTAGTTTCTTCCACACTAGTCAAAGATGATGACAACATATTTTCAGTACCTTTCTCTGGATTATGATTGTGTCTGTATTATCCTATTTGACAAAATATTGCTGCTGGGGAACCCTGGAAATTTGAAAATTAGAAATTACTGCCAAGCACATTAACACTCCACCATGCAGTTCTTTCCCATGGTTCACAATGAGATGGCACAATGAATACAAACAACCTGGACAGAGAGACAATGAAGTTATGTTTGAAGGCCTATTCAACCGATTCCCACAGCATCAAGATCAACATCCAACTGCTTAGTGTACACTATCCAAGAGAATTGTAAAACTGTAATGACATGAAAGAGAATTTTGGCTTATACTTTACAGAGCAGTGTTTATTCAGATGAACAGGTGATACTTTGCTAAAGTGAAAGAAAATGGTAATACGAATGGTACCCAGATTTCCGAGTGTAACTTATTTTTAATGAAGTAAAGAACTTTATAATAGTGCAATCATTTTTAAAAGAGTTGAAATTTTCAGTGTCTGTGCAGGGTAATTATACGGGTTAGAGAAAAGACTAGAGATCCTTTGTGTTATAAATGTAAAGAAATGAAAGATATAAATATATAAATACTTTAATCCTTTTCTTTTGCTGTCATTGCCTGCATAGCTTGCTGAATTGTTATGCTGGCATTGACATATCAAGTTCTTTCTCAGTGTATATTGTGCCATACTTTCCTACATGTTTTCTAGAACACTCTGCTTGTATATAACTCACTGAAAAATTAAAAGAAAAAAAGAATAATGACACAAAGTCATTATCAGGAAAGCACTGAATAAAACTAACAGCCTATCATTAAGATATCTTACAGCGAACAGCACCAATTTCATGTTAATACCCAAGTTCCCTGATATTTGTGCTGCTCTGGCAGTTATTGTATAATGTGGGCAGACAGTCCCTAAGAACACTTAGTAACCTTTATTAACTGTGACCTCAAAGACTAATATCACAAAGGCTCAATGTCATGTATAATAGTTACATTGTATAAAAATAGTTACATGTATAAAAAGCTACATTATATCATTATTATGTAGCACATACACTGTACAGATCAACATTACAAAATAATAATTTCCTTTTAAGTGAGATTGAGTAAATTTTGTCATAT